GCATATTAGGCCACACACCCCTAGTGTAGCCAATCCTCCAAGAGCTTACAGTAGCCCCAGTAAGAAGAGCTCTGTAAGCTCTTGGAGGATTGGCTACACTAGGTGTGTGTGGCCTAATATGCAAAGGAGCTCCTGCTACCAGTAGAGCCCTACGAACAGCGCATCTCTTCTGACACAAGTGCACTGATGACAGCTTCCTCAAAAAAATGGAGAGGGCACAGCACCAAAAATGCCTCATTAAAAGCATTAGCCGTCGCCCTGACCTGGACAGCCCAGGCAAGCCCGATCTCATCAGATCTCGGAAGCTAAGCAGGGCCAACTCTGGCAAGTGATTGGAAGGGAGACCTCCGAGGAATACCAGGACTGGGATGCAGAGGTAGCCAATAGTAAGCCACCTCTCTGAAACATCCAAGCCCCACTAAGGATCGCCAGAAGTCAATCATGACTTCCAGACACAGACGCACACGCACATTCTGCCATGGAAACTTCCCGGGTGACCCTGGGCCAGTCACATGCTCTCAGCCGCCCTAAACCACCCCACAGACTTACTGGGAAGTTAAGATGGAGGAGAGGAGGAGGATGTAAACAGCTTCAAGTCCCCTAAAGGAAGTAGAGAAAAGATACACAAAACACCATATCAACATGCAGCTTGGCCCTCATTCAAACACGATACTTTTCAGTGGAAATCGTTTGTGCGTTTCACTATGAGTACCAAAGCAAGAAGGCAGCAAGTCATGAAACTTGTGCATAAATGAGCCCAGGAGAGGGCATTAAAGTGAGGAAGCGGCAGGAGAGAATGCTCCTCTCTCAAACCTAGTACGGGTTTCTGGAACAGAACTGGATCGTTCATTCTGGCAAAGTAATGATGTAAAGATTGTTTAATAAAGCAACTGTTTACATGATCATTATTTTTTATCATTTGAACACTGACATGTTCACAATCAAGCCCTCATAAATATCCTTACATGTTATCAGCTCTGCTACCGATTTTTGTTAATAAAAATCAAGATGCCAAAATGCTCCAGGGGCAGCCGTGCATGTAGATGAGTAACGGTGAGGACAGATTGGAAAACAGGCGTTCAACAGGAATAGGTGATCCTAGAATGTACAGGTTATCCGTTGCCAGTTTTTGAAACCTTGGAAAACTTTTAAACAGTATAAACAGATGTCAAACAAACCCTTATTATTTAACTGTTCACACATTTAATGCAGGGGTCCCCAACATTTTTGATCCAGCGGGCACCTTTGGAATTCTGAAACAGCATGGTGGGCGCGGCCACAAAATGGCTGCCGCAGCTTACCTTCAAATACACGGTGAAGATTCTTGTGCTGTGGTGGCAGCTGCTGCCAAAGGATCATTTTTAAAAATCTGCACAGCCAATCGAATTTCCAGTGGCCAATTAGAAGCCTTGCTGGGCAAAAGCCTCATTTGGTCCCAAACCACTTTCTAACAACACTTGGTGGCCCCCAGGATAGCTGCCCGTGGGCATCACACTGGGGATCCCTGACTTAATGGTCTCCATCTTTTATCCTGAATCGTACTGGAGTAAAGTCCGCACATCTATTCCCAGGCTCTGAGTGCCAATCACGCAGTGCTGGTTACAGGCATCACACTCGTTCAAGCTAAGAACCAGCTGAGGGATCTTGTGTTCCTTTCCCACAGCCAATCACCTTCCTGAAAAGAACCCTCCCTCCCTAGAAGTTTATAGACCACATGGTGGCAGAGAGAAGTTTTAGGAGACAGGGTCCACCAAAGTAGGATCCACTGAAGCCAGTGCCACTTTGCAGAATTCAAGTTCCCACACATCCTTGTGTTAAATCATCCAGACTTATGACCACCCCCCTTGGTTCCATGCTAACACCAATCAGAATCAACCCTTCACCTCTAAACACATCTTGGTGATTTCACAGAGCCCTGTTCTCTAAACCATATTGCCCTTTATTACATCACAACACAGTCCTTTCTCTGGATACCCATTTCCTATGAAGCCTTTTTTTGACCGCAACAGGATAAAGATTTTTGTGACTCTTTTTCCTAGGCTATGTTGGGCTGGGTGGGTGATGGAGAGGGGGAAAGCCCCTCTTTCTGGGTACTCGTCTCATCTTAATTTTTTGGGAGGAGAGGAAGGGGAAGGTACACATCAAACACAATGCCCAAATAGCTGTTTGGGGAATGTGCTAGTGCAGGAAACTGTGTGCCATGGAGGAGCCATGAGCCCCCAACCATAGCCCAGGATCCAGCAGTACCCCTAAGCCATGAACCTGTTCCTTCAGGGAGAGAGTAACCCCCTCTGGGACAGGCTGACTTCTCAATCCTCAAGCAGTTTCTCCATTGACCAACAGCACCTCAATCTTGCCTGGACTGAGCTCCAGTTTATTGGCTCACTTCCAATCCTGTGACTTCCTCCAGGCACCAGTGCAGGACTTCTACTGACCCACCTGACTCAGCTACTAAGGAGAAACTGAGTGGAGTGTCATCCAGGTTTATGACAACTCAGCAAGGGAGTCTGGCTCAGAGAGCGAGTGAGTGACTGCTTGAAGGCCACCCAGAGACCTTCATAGAACAGGAGATACATCTGAACACGGGCCTCCCCAGTCCCAGCCAGAAGCTCTAACCACTACACCACACCCTCTGTCAACGAATACAGAATGGAACCTTTGTGTTGAAGAAGGAACGGGGCACTGGGAAGCAAATTCAACCATGCAGTGAGCAACTTTGGTGTTTGAAATCGGGCGCCCCTTCATTTGCTTCACCGAGAATCCAGGAATTTTAATGTTTCCCCTTTTCTCCTCTCCAGTTCTTACAGTGGCAATTAAATGCCTTTACCACCCCACCCCCACCCCAGACGTCAGTTTTGCTTTGGCTGCATTTTGCTCATTCCCTGGTCGCTCATTAGGAGCCCCAGAACTACCCAGAACCAACAATGGCACGATTGGCACTTACAGCTTCTCCAGAGCACGCAGGCCGAAGAAAGAGCCATTCTTCAGGGCTGCTATCTTGTTGTTGCTCAAAAGCCTAGAGGGAGAGATGGACAGAGAAAGAAAGAGAGTTATTCAACCCACTTTTAACCAAACAATCAGTACTTAAATGACCTGCGAGGGCCAGGTGTGAGCCAGGCTTTGGGAGAGAGGTGCTGAGCAGGGAGTGATGTAAAGGTGGCAGGATGAATGTACAGAATCACAATTAAGATGAAGATGCCTCCCCCACCCATGCACAAAGAGTCATCACTTATATAATCCAATGTGCAAAGGGTTTTCCATCTCTGAATGTTTTAACCTCTGTATCATGGGAGAAGCCGTAGCTCAGTGGCAGAGCACCAGCTTTGCATGCAGAAGATTCCCTGGTTCAGTCCACAGCACCACCTGTGAAAAAGAGGCAAGGTGGCCTTGGGAAGACACCCCCCGCCCTGCTGAGATACTGGAGAGCAGCTGCCAGGCTGCCAGTCACAGGACTCAGTGTTAGGCCTGATGGGCCAATGGCTTGACAATGCAGCTTCACAGAGACACATTTCACAAATGAGGAATTGTGGCTGATGACAAATCTACGGCAGATGTGGGAACTCCAAGTTTAAGCCGCACAGTATATTAAATGGAGTTCAGTACTATAACCTATGTATTCTGAACAGGTAAGAGAACCAATTATGTTAGTCTGTTGTTGCAAAAATAAACCAGAATTTTGCAGTATATTGATGTTTCTCTGGACTAGAATCCACTGCCAGATGTGTGAGAAGGTCCTAACTTTGCAGACACACAGAGATGTTTTACACACACACAAAATTGTAAAAAGAAGGACCCCCTGCTGTAGTCCATGAGAGTGTGTACGCAAGTAAAAGTGTGCTGGTCTGTCAAGTGACACAAGACTAGTACTTTTACCACCCATCCATGTATCCCACCCACCACTTTTACCAAATGCACTGCAGTAACAAACACCACCATCTCTGGAGAATGTTTATGAGGTTGTTTGGGGTTTTTTTAAATCATTCATAGCATCATGCAAACTTGGAAAAGCAGGACAAAACGGAAACAGCTTGACACAGTAAACATTGCACTTGAAGAATGTACAATTACATCTCAATGGCCAGTCAGGCTAACACATAAATGAGTTCTTTAGATTTTTCACATATTTTCATGACCGCGGCTCCTTCCAACTGTCATTGTGGGTACTTATTCTATGTCACAGCTCTGAAAGTAGATGCACATTTGTGTTCAAATCAAAAGAAGTAGTCAGCCAGTCCAATGTGCCTTGTAAGAACATAGTAACACAGACAAGGAACATAGATCCAGATGTGTGCCTCCAGCAGCGTTCCATGCAGAAGGCTGCTTCTGTGCATGGATCTCACTTGCAGTTTAAGGCACTTATGTATTTATATACAAGCAAGGGATTTGTGAACACTTGCAGGTAGCATCACATTCCCCCCCTGTATCCCCTTCATCACACTAATTATACTTTCCTTCTCCCTGGCAGCCCCTATAGCCTCTCCCCTTTCCCTTTTCTCCCACCTACCTACCAATCTCCCTTTATCCGACCAGCCTATTCTTCAGCTTTCTCTTCTTTCCTCTATGTGGCTGCTCTTCCCCCTTCTCTCCTCTCCTACCCCACTAACTACCTTTTTATGTTCTTTCCCCTTCCCTGTTTCCTTCCTTCCCCTACCTTCTTCAATCTCCCTCCCCTCCCCCTTCAACTGACAGAAACCAGGACTTTGAGGGCTCAGCAATATTGTTGTGTTTGCACAGCAACCCTCGAAATGGCCAACAAGATCTTAAAAACAAAACAAAACATAATCTTGTGAGCTCTCAGTGGGCATTCATCTCTTAAACCCAAAGAAATTGCCTCTTAAATCAAAATAAATAATCCCCAATATTTTAGACTTTTCTGCAAACCTGGGGTTTCCCTCCGGTTCACAGAAAAATCCCCCCATTGATCCCTCACCCCACTGTATGGATTTTTTCATCCACACTGTAGGGCCAGGTTCAGTATTAGTTATGATGATTATATTGATACCCTGTTTTTTAGACAATTGTCTTCCAATTGGATCTCATCTATCAAAAGCCTCTCTCCTGACAAACAAAAAACTAAAGGCACATAAGGGATGGGGGATGGAAGGGAAGCCAATGCTTTAACAGTTAGAATTCATATCTGATTGGGCCAGGATGATTATAAGAACATAAGAACACAAGAGAAGCCATTCTGGATCAGGCCAGTGGCCCATCCATTCCAACATTCTGTGTCACACAGTGGTCAAAAACCAGGTGCCATCAGGAGGTCCACCAGCGGGGCCAGAACTCCAGAAGCCCTCCCACTGTTGCCCCCCAAGCACCAAGAATACAGTGCATCAGTGCCCCAGACACAGTGTCCCATCTAACCCTATGGCTAATAGTCACTGATGAACCACTGCTCCATATGTTTATCTAATCCCCTCTTTAAACTGTCTATGTTTGTAGCTGCCACCACTTCCTGTGGATGTGAATTCCACATGTTAATTACTATTTGGGTGAAGAAGTACTTCCTTTATCTGTTCTAAGCTTACTGCTCATTAATTTCATTGAGTGTCCACGGGTTCCTATATTGTGAGAAAGGGAGAAAACAACTTCTTTCTCTGCCTTCTCTATACCATACATAATTTTGTAAACTTCTATCATGTCACCCCTCAGTCACTGTTTCTCCAAGCTAAAGGGCCCTAATCTTTTTAACCTTTCTTCATAAGGACTGTTCCATCCCCTTAATAATTTTAGTTGCCCTTTTCTGCACTTTTTCATATGCTATAACATCTTTTTTTGAGGAGTAGTGACCAGAATACACAGTATTCCATATGAAGCCACACCATTGATTTATACAGGGGCATTATGATACTGGTTGATTTGTTTTCAAATCCCTCCCTAATAATCCCCAGCATAACATTTGCCCTTGTATTGCCATCGCACACTGGGTTGACATTTTCAGTGAGTTATCTACCACAACTCCAAGATCTCTCTCCTTGTCAGTCTCTGCCAGTTCAGAGCCCATCAATATGTAGTTATAGCTACGATTTTTGACTGCAATGTGCATTACTTTGCACTTGCCCACACTGAACCTCATTTGCCATGTTGACGCCCACTCACTCAGCCTCGACAGATCCCTCTGGAAGGCCTCCCAATCCTCCCTGGTTCTCACCACTCTGAACAACTTATTGTCATCTGCAGACTTAGCCACGTCACTACTTACTCCCAACTCTAAATCATTGATAAACAAGTTAAAAAGAATTGAACCCAGTACTGAACCCTGTGGTACCCCACCACTTACCACCCTTCACTGTGAAAACTGCCCATTCATACTCATTCTCTATTTCCTGTTAATTAACCAGTTTTTAATCCACGACTTGTCCCTTTATCCCATGACTACTGAGTTTACTTAGGAGCCTTTGATGAGGAACTTTATCAAAAGCTTTCTGGAAATCTAGGTAAACAACATCTATTGGGTCACCCTCGCCCACATGTTTCTTCACCCCGCTCAAAGATCTCTAAAAGGTTAGTGAGACAAGATCTTCCCGTACAGAATCCATGCTGATTCTTCCTCAATAGCTTTTGTTCACCAATGTGCCTACTAATTCTATCTTTAATAACAGATTCCACGAACTTACCCAATATCGACGTTAGATAGACTGGCCTGTAATTTCCCAGATCTCCTCTGGAACCTTTTTTTAAAGATGGGGGTTACATTAGCTATCTTCCAGGCCTCAGGAATGGAGACAGATTTTAATGAAAAATTGCATATTTTTGTCAGATCCACAAGTTCAGAACTCTTGGATGTATGCCATCTGGGCCTGGTGACTGTCAGTTCTTAATTTGTCCATCAGTCATAGGACCTCCTCTCTCATCTCCTCACTCTGACTCAGGTCTTTCAACACCCCAGCCAAAATCGGCAGTTCTGGACAAGCACCTCCCATCTTCCACAGTGAAGACAGAGGCAAAAAATGCATTCAGCTTCCCTTCCATTTCCCTATCATCCTTTAACCGCTTGGTCATCCAAGGGCCCCACTGCCTCCCTGGCTGGTTTCCTGCCACTAATGTATTTGAAGAAATTTTTATTGTTGGTTTTTATGCTTTTTGTCATATGTTCCTCATAGTCCCTTTTTGCATTTTATTTGTCACTGCCTGTGCTCTTTTTTATTTACCTCACTCGGATTAGTCTTCCATCGCTTAAAGGAATCCTTCTTACCTTTTATTGCTTCCATTACTTTGTTCATTAACTATGCAGGCCTTTTTTATACCTATTTGTACCTTTCCTAACCTGTGATATACATTTTATCTCAGCTTCTAGGATTGTAGTTTTAATTAGTCTCCAAGCTTCTCAAAGGTATTTGAACCTCCTTTCCTTTCCTTTCAGTTTCTTGTTCACAAGCCCCCTCAGAGTTACCCCTTCTAAAGTTAAAAGTGGTCGTGTTGGTCTTTTTGGGCAACTCCCAATTTACATAAATGTTGAACTTAATAACATTATGGTCACTGTTCCCAACTGGTGCTATCACATTTACATCTCTCACCAGGTCTTGAGCGTTACTTAGGACCAAGTCCAGGATCACCGCTCCCCTGGTAGGTTCTGTGACCATCTGCTCCATGGCACAGTCATTGGAGACTATCTAGAAGCCCAATCTCTTTCTCCTGACTTGAACACATATTAAACCAATCAATGTGTGGGTAGTTAAAATCACCTATTACAACAGTTATTTCGTCTAGGTGCTTTCCTTAATACTTTTGCTGTTTTAAAATAATTCTCTAACCTTTTACCTGGTGGGCGATAACAAACTCCCAGAGTTAAACTTCCTTTTGGGCATACTATTTCCACCCATAGCATTTCTGTAAGTGAATCTATTTCTCTTACGTTCTCAATCTTCCTGGACTGTATCCCCTCTCTGACATACAGATCATCTCTCATGGTGCTGTTGCAAAGATTCTGCAGTCCAGCAATAGAGACCACTTTTCTTCCCCTCATGTCCATAGCCTCCGGTGGTTTCTGATTTACTATTTAGTAGTGCTTTCGAG